CAAACACTAGATAAGTCCTTGTGGCTATGTAAATTCATTGAAATTAGGTAACAAGAAGTCTATTTGGAAAGACCTGAGTAGAGAGATAGCCAAATCTTTGATAGCCTTACTGTAAAGGCTAGTCTTATGAAACAGATACCAAGATCGAAGTAGCTGGACAGACAAAAACCTCTAGGTGGGGGGTACTACCAACTAGATTGCTAGATCGAACCAGAGGAAAAGGATATCGAGCTGACTTGATATACCAATAGACTAGTCATAAGTCCTATTAGGCTATCTGGATTGGAAGTTTGGTGAACCAGCAGGCAATACTAAAGTATTTGAATATGCTGTAAAGTAGATGCTGTGATTTGTATAAACTCTACAAGGGCATAGCAGTTTAATGGTCAGCTCTGATCGCAAGTGTTGGTTCTGCTATAGCAATACCTAGGTCAGCTGTAAAAATGAGTACAGAAGGCTCTGAGGAGTTTACCTTGAGGATAAATTAGTCCTAAGGTTGAGAACGATGATCTGATACATCTAAAATGACCAGTGATATTAACACAGATTACAGGTTCAGAGGGTTTAAAGTGGAACATCCAAGCAGGGGTATTAGGTATGACAATTAGTAAGAAACCTTTGGGTGGACTCCTTAAATAGGTAATATAAAAAAGTTACACATGTAGCCAATTGTATGCTCTTTTGTAATGGTTCATTGAACCACAATACCAATAAATAATTAATAAAAGCAAAAGACCAAAAAGGTTATTTTTAAAAAAAAAAAATAAAATAAAAATATTTTATAAGTAAACTGTACTCCATATTATTAATAATTTATTATGTTATTTAAAAAATACTAAATTTAATTTAAAATTCCAGGCAAATTTGCCTGGAAAACAGTTTAAGAGATACTATTAAATAATAATATACCTTTTATGTATAATTAGTGAATTTAATTAAAGTTGTTAATAGGTTGGACTAAAGTGGTTTGAGTTAAAATATTTCTCAACCTATTTCAACTTGGGTCGAATTCACTCTGAAACCACTTCAGATTTGCTTCAGTTTACTTTAATTTTACTTTAACATATTTTTAATTCATTCTAACTTGGGTTGGGCTCACTTTAAAGCTGCTTCAAAATATGTTATTTCATTAATAACCTTAGATTTAATATTGTCAAACTTATAAGTCTCATATAGAAGGTGCATTATTATTTGGCAGTGCAATATTTTATAATTCTGTAATTCAATTTAAATGATTTTGTACTTGTTAGAGTTATTTAAAAAGAAGAATGTTTTGATAACAAAATTAGTTTAAATTGATTAATTTATTTAAAAAAAAACTACAAATTAGCCCAAATGTTAATATTAAACATAATTAGAATTTAATATAGTTATTCTATATTGTTAGAGTAATCAAAAGTTTTTTTTTTATAAGTAACCTTATTTTGAGTTTTTAGCAAATAATATAAAACAGTTATTCTGGTTCTAATTGTAGTAGAATTTTATCTTAGTCATATGATTTTTACTTATTATCAAACTTGCAGCATTCCAACACTATACACAACATAATAGTAATTATTCACTATAAAATTTATATCTTCCATCTGCAGTTTACGACTCAATTTTTTTTTTCTTTTAGAAATCAATATATTTAATATGCATTTTATTTTGCTTTTTTTTCCTTTTCTTTATCTTCCACAGTGGCACTAGATCTATTCACTAAAACTGTGCCAAGTACAATAAATCCTGCGCCAAACCACCACTGAAGTGCCAAAGCTTCACCAAATATAACATATCCAAGGATTGCCTAAATTGTAGTGATAATGTTTTCTTAAAATTTTAAAAAAATACCGAAATTTCGAAACAATTATACTTACAGTCATACAAAAATTAGTAGCACTATTTAATACAGTAACTTGAATGGATGATGATGATTTATTGAATGCTTTCGTGAGAAAATTCCACATTAATGCGTTACATAAGAATATTGATGCAAAGCAAAGAATTCTGATCAAGTAGATTATCTTTTTTATGGAAAACACAAAATATTTGAAAATGAGGCGTTGAAATTCCTAATTTTGATTTAAACTGTACTTGATCATACAAATAATTACTTACGTTTTCCCATCCTTTTCCGCTTTCTTCAATTTCTTTACAAAATTTTGCATTTTTACCACCAGAAAATACATCACAAAGATATTGTGCGATACTCAGAGTTCTGGTATCCGTGAAAAGTTTTGCAAATACAGATGCTAATGAAGCAAATGTTCCTGATAATAAGGAATATGGTATAAATGAAGATTTTATAGTTATGGTATGTTTCGATGATGTCATTTTATCTCGAACAAAGAAAACTGTGATTTTAATTTAATAACGTATTATCGTTAGATTAATAACGGTTTAATTTTGGTAATTTGGGTTTCTGTGATTCGTAACGTAATACCTGCATTGTCGCACAATTAAATCGTATATTAAAGTTACATGAACAATTTTTATTCTTTTAAAAACTTTGAACATGGATTATCTAAAGTCAACGTTGTCTCGGGTCGTGTTAGGTAAAGATATACCGACTCTTTCTTTTAATATTGCTGAAAAAATCGACTCATACGAAGGCGCATCAATATGGTCTTTATATCAGGGAACCAAAAAGGTATCATTATTTATCTTATTATTAAATCTCCAATTGCAAATAATTATTGAACCTGGTCTTAATCAGAGTTCTTGAAACATTCAGACCCTAATAATTCATTGAATTATTAAAAATCCTCTAGGAGGACGGAAGTCCAATATCTATTTTCACTTTTGATTGCGTTAAGCAAAAAGATAAATTGCCTTTAGCCAAAAATGCTTTTAAGAAATTTCGAACCATTAGGCATCCAGATTTTTTACGTTATGTTGATGGTGTAGAGGTAATAAATGTAATTGCTTGTTACTGTCTTTTTTTTTAACAAAATATTTTTTCTAATTCTCTAATTCCTATTAAAAGACTGACTCTAATATATATATCGTTACCGAAAATGTTACTCCTTTAAGAACACAACTTAATGCTCATTCTGATGATAATTTAATGTCATGGGGGTTATATAAAGTGGGGGTATGTTTGAAAATTGTTTTTTATGTTTATCCTTTATTTTTCTAAATAACTCATTTTTTTTCTTAAAAGAGCGCATTAAAATTCTTAAATAATGATTGTTCAATGATTCATGGTAATGTTCGGATTTCGTCAATATTTATTAATAAAGCTGGTGAATGGAAATTGGCTGGATTTGAACTTATGAGTTCTCCCAAGGAAGACAACCCTGTGATTTTTGTGAGTGATTATTTATTAGAATTGATTTTATTTAACTTTTATACTTATTATTTAATTTATTGTAGACTTATGGTGGGTTAGTGGTCGATTCTTCTAAATATGCTTCTCCTGAGATCGCGAAAAATTCTTGGAATATTCTAAAGGAGTAAGGCACTCTCTTAATTTTTTGATTATATTAGTAATGATTGAGGAGAATTAAAATTTATTTCTTTTTTGTTCTTTGAGGTTAGACATGATGTGTGGGTAACAGACTCGTGGAATTACGGAACTTTGATCTATGAAGTGTATAATGAAGCGTTCTCATCTACTAATCAACTTGAAAATACTGGTGCCATACCACAGGTAGATTCTTTAAACCATGCTTCTAGGTTGCTACATTTAAAATCAATAAATACAATAATTTTTGTTATTTTTTTGTTATTTTCAGAATATTCTGACTCCATACAAACAATTGATAAGAGCCAATCCAAAATCTCGAATTAAAATATCTGCTTTCATTGATGTTGGTTTACATGCTGGTGGATTTTTTCAGAATGATCTGGTACAAATTAATTTATTTTTGGAAAATATGAACATTAAAGAAGCGAGGGAAAAAGATATTTTTTTTAGGTGAGCATTTCATAGTATGATCGTACGGTTATAAGCAAATATCATTAATATATAATTTATTATTCAGCAAGTTGATTAATATGATTGATAAATTACCCGTAAATATTTGCAAATATAAAATTTTGCCGGAACTCCTTAAAGCTTTAGAATTCGGCTCAGGTAAACAAATTATGTTAATTATGAGTTGGAATATTTTAATTTCATATTTATCATTTATTTGCTTGTTAGGCGGTGCAAAGGTACTACCTTCTATAATGAAGATTGGTGAAACTCTTGATGATAATGAATATGAAGAATTTATAGTCACTTCTATTGTAAAAATGTTTGCTGTACCTGATCGAACTATGCGCTTGAGTTTATTGGAAAATTTAGGCTCGTTTATTGATCATTTAGACAATAAAACGGTCAATGAGAAAGTATTTCCCCATGTGGTAGGAAATTTTCCTTAAAATGAATTATTGCTTGATGATCTTAATTAATATTCGTATAGGCAACAGGATTTACAGATACCGTACCAATCATCAGAGAGAGTACTATAAAATCAATTCTTTTGCTCGCTCCAAAGGTATTATTGAATTCAACGATGTGACAACTATTTATAAATATGATATTGTTAAATTAATGGATTTTTCCATGAATAATAGTTGACAGAGCGCAACATAAATAACGATTTGTTGCGATATTTGGCAAAGTTACAAATGGATGAGGTGCCTGGGATTCGAACAAATACTACTATTTGCTTAGGAAAGATTAGCAAATACCTGAGTGACAGCGTAAGTTTGTAAAGTTAAATACTTTTGTATATACATTCTCCAATGCTTAACATGTAGATATTTGATGTATTGTTATATATTCATATAGACCAAAAAAAAAGTATTGGCGACTGCATTTACAAGGGCACTGAGAGATCCATTTCCTCATGCTAGAGCGGCGAGTTTGATGGCACTGACAGGTAGTAATAGTTAAGATTTTTACACAATGTTGTCAAACAGTTTATTCATTGGTAATTGTCACATTCTTTCATTATATCATTTATAATATCACATAATAAATCATATAAGGATGCGAAAATGACCAATGAACAAAATATTTAACAACACTGGTTTAACACTTTAAAGTGTGATGTTTACATACTCTACTATTATACAATAATAGCAACACTAGATTATTATGACGCGATTGATTGTGCAACACGAATATTGCCTTGTGTATCATTCGTTTTGGTCGATAAAGAGAAGTATGTTGAGTATAATACTTTATTGAAAGTTGAATTTATTATTTGAATTATAAAGACGTTTGATTTCTCGCTATATGTATAGACCAGTACGCATACAAGCTTTCAAATCGCTTGATGCGATTACCAAACGATTAGAAAAATTGGTTGAATCAATGGTATCTGTAAATTTGAACCTTTTTGTGTGTGTTCCTAATTTAGTGATTTTTAGAATTAATTAATTTTTATTATGTATTATTAGCCCGATTCAGCCATCATACCTGATCAAAATTCGGCAGGAAATGGTGATACTTCGTTATCGGCTTCAGTTGCAGGTAGTGTGGTTAGTGTTGCCGAAAGTTGGACTGGATGGGCTGTTACATCGTTGACTAAAAAGGTAAAGATGCAAAAAGCATTACATTGATGTTTTTTTTTATAGTTTGACATATTTAATAGTATATATGATTTTTATGAATCGGAAAAGATCGCTGGGATAAATGTGGAAGGCGAAATTGCAGCAGCACCTATAAACAGTAAAATCATCGGAGTAAACGGTGAAGACGAAATTGTAACAGCAGCTACAAACAGTAAGATCACTGGGGCAAATGTTGAAGACGAGATTATAACAGAATCTACAAACAATACAAATGATAGCATTAGCGACAGAATTAGCATGGATCAGAGCGTTTATGCAGCAACCTCGTCAATGAAGCTAGGAGGTTCTGAATGTGAGTTTTTTTTTTTGATATTTTTTGTTTTTAAGAATTTTTTTTTGATGCATTGATTAAACATTTGCAGCACATCCGACGGATGGTTGGGAATTGGATGATTTTGAATGGAGCAATAATGATGGGTGGGATGACGATTGGGATACTTCAAAACCATCACCAACAACTTCGACTAGATCCGTAAGCCCGATTCAAAAATCAACACCTTCTATCGTCATTGTTTCTAAAGAAGATAAAGCAGCAGAACTTAGCAAGAAAAGAGAAGAAAGGCGACAGGTTAGAATTCTGTTCCTAAGTATTGTATGAAGTTTTTGTTTATGATGTTAATTTGACGTGTATATTGCATATTTATATAGAGAATGTCAATGTTGAAAGAAAAAAAGAAAAAAGTTTCTGTACTCGGTGCAAAGAAAATATAACAAATTTATTATAGTTCTAGTTTTTGTTTTTTATTATGTTTTGGCATAATATATAGATTGTATTAGATTCCTATTTATTGTTTAGATAATATTTAATTCAATGGGTGATATATTATTATAATAAAGTGCCGGTGAGTTAGTGTTCTTTTAGACATTTTCCACTGGTTATGAATGAATTTATGTCTGTGATATATACAATAACCAGACAATAAATTTCATTATATTACAAATATATATAAATGTTTGAGTTTTATAGTGTATAGTATATATAAGTAATTATATAGTACTAATGGCCTAATCGCGTTAAATATTTAAAAAGGAAAAAAATGTCGAAAATAGTTACAACACAAAAATGATTAGTTAAATTTTTATGTTTTTAATAAACATATACAAAATTATCTCTATCATTAAAGTTAAGCACATCTATTCTAAAAATCAATATATAAACATATAAACATTCGGTATAGAAAAAAATTTTATATAGGACACAATCATAGATAAACACCGTAATCCGACGCAATGATTATAGGAAACAAGCTAAATTTGGGACTTAAGAAATTAAGTCAATAACGATAAATATATTATTAAAATTTAGATCACGATATATATATATACATATAAGTGCAAACTTATTATTTGTAGGATTGTTAAAATGGCCTTTTTCGTTTCATATATTATTTCTTAATTACGTAAAGATAGTACCGTACGCATTGTCAAGATAATTGCTTAAATGATGATGCTAATAATAGAAATAAAATAATTTCACTTAAAATTATGTTATGGTGTAGTGATTGTACATTTGGGATGGATGGATTAATATAATTTTTGTATTATATATTATTATAATACGGCAGAGTAACTGTTTCGCAACTTAGGTTTCACTTTGTTCTATTAACTTTATTTGCAAATCCACCAATATGCAAAAAAAAGTGGAAAAAAACTTGAACATAAAACTTTATTTATAATGATAGTTAATTATTTATAACAATATTTAAACGTATAACTTTATTATAACAATATATAAACGTATAATTTCATTTATAACAACATTTAAACATATAACTTTATTGATAACAATATTATTCAGCATATCTAAATTTATAAAGCCAACAATTTAATAATATTATACCTTTTATAATTCCAAAATGATTGAATTTTTTGAACCGTCACTAGATAAACGACAAACCTTCATTTCAACTCAGTAAAAAAAATAAAAATAAAATATGAGTAATCGAAAAAATCTAGTTGCCTCAGGAAGTCGCATATCAACACTGATAGTAGCGAAAACTATTCAACATAATTCTTCTTGGCCTTGGATAACCATAGGTACCTACCAAGGCTACTACTTAAAGGATGTAACCTAAAAGTCCAGGATCGGTCACCAAAGGGCGTCAAGTTAATATATTAATGTAAGATCGATTACTCATCTCTTACGCCTTTCAACTCAATGTCAAATTTGACAAGCAACATTACACATAACAAAATAAAAATAAATGTGTAAAAAAATGATAAAATATAATACATATACTCTAAGCATGGTTTTACTGTGTACTTACCCATATAGGAAAAATAATAAAGGCAGATAAGAGAAAAAAACAACCCTTATATACTTTTTTTTTTATTGACACGTTCATTGTTTTGTGATCGTGATTTTACAAAACAAAAACACGTGATAAAAAAATAGATGAATACGTACATGAACACGGTATAAATTAGGTAATCATCAAGTAGCTGCGCGACTTTGTCAGGAATGGAAGGTGATATGTGCAGTAAGTCGAATACTAACTATGTTCTAGGCGGATGTAGCATTCTTATATGCACGTAGTCTCTTCCTAATAAATTATTCACTTTTGTTGTTATTTTACCAGTGAATATAGCGAATATTTGTTAATGAGTAAATTATTTATACCATATTAATTCATATTTTAGTCAACAAATTACTTATTTGATTTGGTGAGTATAAAGATTATTTTTTAATAAAAGTATTCAAATTAATATATTTGCTTCTTATTAACTTCTTATATGTGTTAATTTAACGTTAAACTATATGAAATTTAAATTATTAATGAAATATACACAAAATCACATAGTTCATATAAGATTGCGGTCATTTATTTAGACAAATATGATCACAGAGTTATGTAATAGTTTTTAATTTATTTAATGAAAAAGACCCATTACGGTGCATTAGCGGAATTAAGCAATCATTTGGCTCCCAAATTTAAAATTTGGTTACCAAATTATATATTAAACAATCAATGTTAAACTCTGAAAAAAAATTCCGGACCTCTGATCTATTTCGATAACGAGTCTAACTCATCTTCCTCATATGCTAACCCATCTTCCTACTCCCGACGCATCCTATTGAACATATGAATTTATTAAATGACGCATCATAGCTTGGGGAATGTAGTCAAAATCTATATTTACATATTAGTAGTCAAATTTTTCAAATTTTGGGGTAGTTTACAAATGCAATATAATTGTCAAAACATGTCACGAAGCCATCTGCATGTATTAAAAGGGTAGGGTAACGATAAGAAAATTTATTATTAAATGTAAAATCAATTTAGTCTGAATCTAACTATTGTGAAACAGTACATAGATTTTAAGGATAAATACATAAAAAAGACATTCAGTATTTAAGGATGCATAAAAAACTAGTTATATCTGATTTACGATTAAATGTAAAATATTGTAACGAATAATTTTTTCTGTCTCTTCTTCCGTATTTGTCTAATTAAGTAAGTTGTCACATACCTTTCATAAATGTTTTACCATAGTCATAGTAATCATACCTTTCTAGTATTAAGCATTCTTATGTATTCATAGTAACTTAATCCATATGAATCCTCCTGGAAGCATAGACTTTCTAATGGTCACGTAAACATAGTTATTGGAGTGTATACGCTTTTATATAAACTTGATAGAATAGGTTACCTATGGGAAAGCATGTGTTATTTAGAGTTATAGTGTAGAAGTTATAAGAAATAAGAATGTATTCAAAGGGTTGCTCTTGCCCTGCGTTCAGAAGGAAAGGATGCTTTCTGAAATTGTCTTTAAATATAGAATACATAAACCTATATTCTTTTATATACTAAATGCTTACTAATCCTATAAAATCCAAGTTTCCTAATTTATCATCAGGTTTCTGCATCTTTCATACATTAACCATCTAAGTTAAACTTAGCATGATTAATGGAAGCTCTCCTTTTTAATGGTGACAGTATAAAAAACAGATAATCAAGCATTTAATAATAGTAAGCAGGTTATTAAAACAATAAATAGTTTAATTTTTAAGTGTATGCTTTAAAAATAGATACCATTGAATTATTGAACTATAACAGTTAAAATGAACGAATATAGTTAGGCTAAATTTTATAAAATATGAAAATGTAATAAATTTCTGATTTAAATTAATTCCAAAAATAGTTGAAACTTGATATATAAAATTTTTATATTTAACAAAGTAAACCGGTATAATCACAAGCCTGGTCTATTCAAATTAAGCGAAGCAGAAAATTTATATCAATGATTCAAAAATCTCCTTATAGAAATATCTAACTATTTATCTATCTACCTATCTGCCTATAGAAATATACTACTCATTTGTAGAAACATCCAATCATTCACCTACTTGCCAGTTCTCCAACTATCATCAAAACATCTAATTATCTATCCATTCATCAAGACATTCAACTATCTATTCACACATCAAAACATCTAACTATCCATCTTATCCTCAAGACACCTAACTATTCACCCATATACTATTTATTTACTCATCAGTAAAATTATTAGAATACAAAAAAATAGTATGTAAGACAAAGAAAAATAATAAATAAAATAAAAAAAACAAAAAGTAAAATAATAAAAAAATAAAATGTAAAAGGAATGCAATACTAAATATTATAAATAAAAAATTAATTTAAATAAAAAAAATAAAAAGAATATAGAAAATAATAAGAATTTAAAAAAATAATAATTTAATTTACAAATAAAAAAAAACAATAAAATAACATTGCGGCGAATTTATAAATGCGTCGAATGTGGGGAAAATGGGTTATCATGTGAGAAAGATGGTCACATGCGTTATCAGTCTAGATCAGAGGTTCAAATTTTTTTCAGGGTTTACATTTATAGTTTAATATGTTAATTTGGCAACTAAAATTTAAATCTGAAAAACAAATGCTTGAGTTTGATGACTAAATTTTAGCTAAATTTCATAAATTCACTATGATGAATAAAAAGTTGATTTAAAAAATTTAATTTAAAAAAGATATCTATAAAAAACATTAATTTAAAAATTATTTTTTTAAAAAAATTATTTTTTAAATTAATAACTTTTAAAAATATTTGTTTTAAAATTAAAATTTTAAACTAGTTTTTATTTATTTTGTTCTGATTTCTTTATTTGTTAAATTAAAATATTTTTTTAAATGTTTATCATAATTCTATATATAATTTTTTTATTTTTTTATTTTTTTTTTTTGGTATTAAGGTGACCTTTTTGGTCTTTTGACTTTTGTTAAGCACTTATCAGTATTGTAGTTCAATAAACCACTACAGAAGAGAATACAATTGGCTACATGTGTAACTTTTCTATATTACCTATTTAAGAAGTCCACCTGAAAGTCTCTACCAATTGCTATACCTAACACTCCTGCTTGGGTGTTTCACTTTAAATCTTCTAAATCTATAATCTGTATTAACTCACTGAGTTATACCCAGATGCTCAGATCATCATCTCAATCTTAGGACTAATTTATCCTCAAGGTAAACCCTCAGAGCCTTCTGTACCTATTTTTATAGTTGATCTAGATATCATTATAACAGAACCAATACTTGTAATCAGGGCTAACCATTAAACTGCTATGCCCTTGTAGAGTTCACTTAGACCTCAGTATCTACTTTACAGCATAACCCTGATACTTTAGTATACTCCTGCCTTTTCATCTACCTTTTTACCAAACTTCCAATCCAGATAGCTCATATAGAATTACGATCAGTTTATTGGTATATTGAGTCAGCACAATATTCTTTCTCTTTGGTTCATTTTGGCAGCCTGGTTGGTAATACTCCCAAGACTCCTAACCTGGAGGTTCTTGCCTGTCCAACTACTATGACCAGGTACTATGACCTTAGTATCTGTTTCTCCAGGTTAGCTTTTACAGTAGGGTCATCAAAGATCCAGCTACCTCTCTACTTGGGTCTTCCCAAATGGACTTCTTGTTACCCAATTTCAACAGATTTATACAACTATAAGAACTTATTTAGTATTTGCACTGCCTGATTTGTCAGTTTGCATTTCTCTATATAATGTCATATTTATACAAATGCCCTATGACCTGTTAGTCATGCTGGTGTGATTGACATTATAGGTATCTTAACCCAATCATTAGTAACAGTTATTATAATATGAATATTACATAAGTAATTAACCAAATTTTCACTATTGATGGGATTTGAACACCCAACCTATCACTTGGAAAGTTAACAACCTAATCACTTTACTAGGTTGCTACACCTCTATAATTTTTTTATTTATGATATTTAGTATTTATTTCTTTTATATTTTATTTTTTTATTTTTTTTTAATTTTTTTTAGTTTATTTTATTTTATTTTTTATTTTATTTTTTTGTTTTATATGTTATTTCTTTTGTATTCTAATAAATAAATTAATAAACACTTTTACTAATAAGTAAATATATATTTTTTTATTTATTTATATAATATCATAGTAGAAACTTTAAAATACAATAAGAAATTTAATTACAGAAAAAAATTTCTAAAATAA